CAATTTGTAGCTAAGAGAAAGTAGAAAATACTACAAACTGATCCCACATTTGTGATAATCGCACCTGAAAACTCGATAGAAATCATACAAACATGCAGTTGAATGACTGGCAGAAGTGACTTGGTTAAATGAAGGCTAAAATTTTGAAAAACAATTTAGGGAATTTTTTGTAATAAGGCCAAACAAAGTAAAAAAAAATTGAATTTTTTTGCCAATTTGAGTAACAAAACACTGCAAAAGCAATCAACATTGCTGCATTATTGCAGGGCAGTTCGAAAAAATTCAAAGTTTTGAATTTATTGCACAATTGAGTAAAAAAATAGCTAGACAAAAATTGAGAGTTCAAGAGCAGATTGAGACATGCTGGACGGTTTTAATATGCCAAGAACAAACTTGAATACTTAAGAACATAACCTCCCAAACATCCTACTCCTAGGAAAGTAGATGGATAAAATGCATGGCTGTTGGTTGGACTTCAAGTTGTGTGGCTGAATTCGAACTTAACCCAGGGATTGGAATAATTCAAAACAAGAACATGAAAGTCTACCAACAAATTGAGCCCGGAACAAGCTGACCCATACACTTAACCGGTCGAACTCATCAGAAGCTGTAGTTTTAAGATTTGGGAGGGTTTTTTTCTTTCTTTTTTTTTTTTTTTTTTTAATTAAAAAAGGGTTGAAGGGGGGAAATGACAAGAAGATCAAGCTAAAAAGGGTTGAATTTGAACAAACCGAGACAGAAAGAGATAGAGGAGAGAGAAAGGGAAAGGGGTTGGGGAAGATATTAAATTGCTAATTTGCCCTTTTAAAATTGAGCAAAATGTGGTCAAAATCACTTTTTTAGGTCAACTATCGATAAATTAGACAGATTCCATCCCAAAGTGTCTCAAATGCAACGTTTTGAAAGGTTGGGGGTGATGGCTACAACAAATGAAATGTTATGAAAAAGTCTGTTAATGTTTAAAATGTTTGGGGCTCTTGTTGCAATTATTTCAATAACTTAATAGGGTTGTGCTTAAAAAATGAATTTCAAAGTGTAAATTATCGAGTATATTTTCTTATTTTACTTTCACACATTATAATTTAAGTGATAAATTGTTGATTAATCTGAATATACATACAATTTATTTGACTTTTAAAAATTTTCTTTTAAAATAGAATTCACTTAAATTGAATTCTACGGCGAAAGGTTTCCAAAAAGGAGGTAGAGGTTTGATATCCACCATTTCCTTCCCCCTTCCCCATAGTAAAAACTAGTTTTGAATGAATAAAAAATTATGTTATCTTCATTAGATAAAATAAAAATACTATGCCCTTGTTCGTTTTCAATTATTTGAATACAATAATGCCACTTTTGATACTTTTTTTGATAGGACATGAGACCCATTGTGAGATAGAAAGTAAAAAAGTCACGGTAGATACATTTGCAACGGTGCAACAATGAATTCAAATTGGGCAAAAAAATTGGAAATAAATAGAGGCTATATATAAAATAGGGAAAATTGCAAGAGTAGTCCCTCGTCTTTTTTTTCCAGGCTTTACCCTAACCTTCATTTTATGTCAGCGAAAGTTCCTAACCTTTGATAATATGCACCTGAGATCCATCTAGATGAAAATCGTCCAAAATGCTATCAATTGATTGAAAAAATTAAGGAATCAACATCCAATAACATCGTTCAAAATACTGTCCAAAAATGTATTAATATCCAATAAAATCGTCGTGATAGCAAATAATTCAAGGAATTTTCCTGGTCAGCCGACGGTGTTTTGGACGATTTCCATCCAGGTGGATTTCATATGCATATTTATGAAAGGTTAGGAACTTTCACTGACATAAAATGAAAGTTAAAATAAAGTTTTCAAAAAATTAAAAGGTTAGAGGGCACTGTTGCAATTTTCCCTATAATATTTTAGCATTCTTTGAATGACTTTATTAATTCTATACAGATCTATAAAAGTCCACAAATTTCCCAAAAAAATCATCACTTAATAAATCTATAAAAATCTTTAAAAGTTTAATTAAATACAACCCCCTAAAACAACTTTATTGTGCATGCTCACGGCGGCTCGTTTTTTACTCTATTTACAGATTAATTGAGCTAATTTAGGGGAGGAGTAGGAGTAGGGGTAGGGGTAGGGGTAGGGGTAAGTCGTTTTGCATATCTTGAGTATCTAAATGAATCGATTTTTAATAAAAATTCTGAAAATGGTACCGTTGTTCTATAATTAAAAAAAAAAAAATGAAAAAAGAAAAAATGAAAAAGAAAAACCAAACTGGAAATGGAATGTAACCAATTTTATATTTATCATTTAAATTTTGCTATTTTACTTTCACTCTTTATGCTTTAAACAATAAAACCATCGATTCTTCTAAAAGCATATTAAATCATCTAAATTTAAATGGATTACAATTTAATTGAGAGATTATAAAAATGAAAATATACTTTCGAATCCGAATCAATATTTAGCCCTTGTGAGCCCATTCTTGCCCAAAAAAAAAAAAAAAAAAAAAGGCATTTGATGGACCAAAAAAGGCAGTGGTAGTATTCTTGCCTGGCTTTGTCGCGTGATGTTCTTGTGGACATTTTGATATCCTTGCGATTGCTTGGTATGCGCCTTTGTGCCAGGTGTTTACTTTTCATCCTTTTCAATTCGATCCCAAGATTTTTCCTTTTGTTTAGCTCGAGTCCCTTCTTATTTGTAACATGAATCCATCTTTCAACTTCTACACCTTGCTGATGACGATCTTAATTGCAAGAAGTTTCCATAAAAACCTCAAATAAATAGCATTAGAACATCTACAATTCAAACTCCATGGTCATGAAGATGCCTGTGTCTTGTCGATTTCATTTGAAGACAAATAGAATTCTGAACCAATGTAATGAGAATAAACTTTTTGTCAGAATAACAGGTGTATAACTCCTCTCATATACCCTTCATTCTCCCTGATAATACTACCTACCACAGTCCAAAAACCGTGCATCCATTCAAGATTTGCTACCTCTACAAAATTGGTTTTTCGAAAGCTCCCAGAAGGCTGTCCTTGCACTTTAAAGGAATGGCATGGGTGCTTGTCTTGCCTTGACTTCTTGGAGGACACATTCAGTATCATCAGTTCCTGCCACTGATCAATTCGCTAAGCTTGAAAATCTAAAGGATAAACGAGTACATCTTTCTTCAACCTCTTGAGGACGTTTGGGTTTAAGTTAGATTCAGAGCTTCAAGTTTTAGTGTTCCCATCTCGAACTATTGCATAGCAGGTAGGATTGCATTTTTGTAACCCTTCTCTTGCATTAAAGGAAGAAGCTTATCCTGTAGCACCGTGTAAATCTTCTCCATTTCAGGATGAGATCTGTCACCCACCAAAAATACATGACTTTTCCCATTCACTTCTATTTGACTAAAACCAGGCACTTTTTTCACTTTCCTCTCTTTCATTTTTTTTCTTAATTGTGCAAACTCGTCCCATTTCCCACAGGCAGCATACATACTTGCCAAGAGCACGTACCCTCCTGAACTAGCAGGCTCAAGTTCCAATAGTTCATCTCCTATGTAGTCTGCAAGTCCTACATCTCCATGCAATTTGCAGGCACCAAGTAATGCCCCAAGAACAGTACCATCGCGTTCACATGGAGGCATTTGATGGACCACTTTCACGGCCTCATCGACCAGCCCAGCTCGTCCTAGGATGTCAGTGAGGCAAGAATAGTGCTCAGCCTTTGGCTCCAAGCCATAAGCACACCTCATGGAGTCGAAAAGCATTTGACCTTTCTTGACAAGGCCAGCATGACTACAGGCTGACAAGACTCCCACAAAAGTAATTTCATCTGGTTTGTTTCCTGATCTTAGCATCCGTGCAAACGTTTCTAGTGCTCGGTTACCATAACCATGATTGGAATAAGCTAATATCATTGAAGTCCATGACACAATGTCCTTCGCCTCAAGATTATCAAAAGCAATTCGAGCTGAGCGAACATCTCCACTTCTGTAATACATGGTGACTAGAGCATTAGTAAGATATGTGTCTAGCTCAAACCCAAGCTGCACAACAAGCCCATGTGCTTGCGACACTCCTAAAGTACTTTCACATGAGATCAGGAGACTAGTGAGTGTTTTTTCATTGGGCCACGTGCAGCTGCGAAACATCAGGACAAAGTGCTTGAAAGCTTCACTCTCTTGACAATTTTTGGCATACCCATCTATCATCGCATTCCAAGTAACAAAGTTTTTAGTAGGCATCAAATGAAAAAGCTCACTAGCCTTGACCATTTGGCCTCCATTAGCATATGCCGTGATCATTGCGTTCCATGCAGCAATATCTTTGTTTGGCATTTGATCAAAGTATTTCCTCGCCAACTCAGTCATCCCATTTCGTGCAAGGCCCATAACCATTGTAGTCCAAGAAACAACATTCTTACAAGGCATTGAATCAAACAGTTTCTTTGCTTCATTCACTCTGCTATCATCCAAACAACCCTTAATTATAACATTCCAAGAATACAAGTTAGGCTGAGGCATCATGTAAAAAATTTCAAGTGCCTTGTCAACTTGGTTATTCCCAAAATAAGCACTTATCATTGCTGTCCATGCCACCACGTTTTTTGCAGGCATTTGATCAAAAGCATCCCGAGCTTCGTCAATCAACCCATTTCGAGCATAACCTAAAATTATATTAGTCCAAGTGACCACATTTTTTTCCCTTTTGGGCATTTTATCAAAAAGCTCTCGAGCATCATCAATCTTTCCAATTCTAAAATACCCTGATATCAAACTGGTCCAAGAGAATGCATTCCTCACTGGCATTTGATCGAAGATTTTCTGTGCTTCATCAATTTTACTAGCCTCGACATAAGCATGAATCATTGCAGAATCGGCCACAATGTTTCTTTTACTATCCGGCATTTCTCGGAAAAGCCCTTCTGCTTTGTGCAGGTCGTTGTTCTTGAGATAAATGGCGATCATGGAAGAATAAGAAACAGCGTCTCGTTCAGTCATTTCGCCGAACAATTTATGGGCTTCATTTACTTTTCCTAAACGACCCAATTCACTCATTCGAACATTACAATAGTACGTTAAATTTGAATTTGAGAAAGTGCTTGAATAATCTCTGTTTGCAAATTTGAAGGAGATTTCATTGCGTAAAGAAGGGTTATTGTACGAAGTGGTGGTGGCGGTCGTGTAAAGGACATGATGGTAGATATATTGTTCTGGACATCGTAAGAAGAAAACGCAATGCCGAAGTAGAAGAACATTTTTCACTGCCCTGTTAATCTTGTCTGATATGCTCCTTACCATTATCCCAAGTCACGGCGGCGCGTGTACAATCCATGTTGCAAAATCTAATCCTTGAATGATATATATATCAACCGTGGCACTGGTACTCTCTTACACCCAGGTTTACACGGTGACGTGTCGCGTTTTAACAAAATCGGGTCAAAACCTAAACCATTTATCTGGGTCAAAAACTTAAACTGGCCCACTTACTAAGCAAACCTATTCATCATTTTCACTCGCACCATTATCCCCAAATCAGAGAGACCCCTTGGAGGCAAAAATTGGTTCGAAGTCCAGCACTCCATCTCAGCCGAAGTAAGAAGGCAGCAATTAATTTATCAATCGTCTCCATGTTTGGGTTTTCCAGCCTAGGTTAAGCTCGCAGTTGCCTTTTTTTTAGCCGTAAGACGGGAGCTCCACCGCGTGCAAATCTATCGTCTCTAACGCCATCCATCGCCTCCAACGGAATCTAGTAGCACGCATTATGTAAGCATGATATATTTGGCATCCATTTTGCTCGATTTTACTATTTTTGAATAATAAAATAGTTCAAAGGTTTTACAGCGATCTGTGCTTGCAAATTGAAGAGAAATTGAAAGGAATTGAAAAAGGGGCGAAAGTTGCGACCCATTTCGACACAATTTATAAATATGTATTTCAAATTTCGACCAACCCGAATTGGACGAAGGATAAATTATCATTGTGTGTGTATTTAATTTGTTCTTACACCCGAACTGGAAGAAGAAATTTTTTACGATGTGTGTGTATTTCATTTTTTCCTCAACCCAAATTGGAATTGTAAAGATATGAAGTTTATTGGCATTTTTTCTGGTGTTATTTACAGAGATCGTGTTCATACCCAACCAAGAAGATTAGCAGTTCAGGTACTATTTACAGAGATTGTGTTCATACCCATTGACACTTATATTTTGGATGTATAATGTTTTTGTTAAGGAAATCTAATGTTGTCTGCTTTGCAATAAAAAAAGTTATCTCTTAGTAGGTGATTTGGCCAACTTAGAACATGTATGTTAGTTTAATTGATGAAGACAAATACCAGGGACTTGAGTTTTTGCACTAGTGATTTTTTATGTTGAGAAATGAATTTTCTTTGTTATGTTGATGAGTTGTTAACTCACTGTTTATGTATAATTAGAATATTTTCACTGCATGGCTTTAGTCTTATGGAATGTCATGCTTTCGTATCTTGAGTGTACACAATTTTGGGAACCCTGGCAACTACTCTTTATGTGCTTGTTTGTGATGGGGCAAAAGAGAAAATTAAATCGAGTTTGGATCTTCAGCAAAGAGCCCAAGAATTGATCTTCTTTGATTGTACACAACTCTGGGAACCTTGCTACTACTCTTTATGTGCTTGTTTGTGTGTGACAAAAGAGAACAAATTAAATCTAGATTGGATGTTCAGCAAAGAGCCAGAGAAGTTATCTTCTTTGTTATTCACTTATCTAAATTTAATCATGCATTCCTCTAAAATTACAGTACAATAATGATGTCATGGACATGGCAAAAATAGAGTTGAGAAGGAGAATTAAAGAAATAAATGGTTTGAAATCAAAATTTGACAAACAAGTTAATTTACAACCAGATGTGCAGTAAAAAGGAGTAATAGTTCTACTTTATACAACATATTGCTATTCAACTGAACTTGTAAAGCCAGATTTATGCCCCCAATATATTTCAAGTTTGAACTGTGTCTTCCCACCACAACCAACATTTTATTTGCTCAGTCCTACCCCTAAATTGACAATGTTAGAATGACAGGAAATATGTGTCTGCATTGATTGGTAATATGTTGGTTGTTCGTATGTTAGAATGACAGGAAAGAATTCTGGAATCTACCATAGCTGTAGAGAGAAGGGGCACTTGTTTGCTGATTGCCCCAACAAACGGCGATGCCTCGTGTGTAGACATGGCTTCGTGAAGTGCTTGGAGGTTGAAAGGCAGATGAAGAACAAGGGAAGGTTGCTCAATTGCTGCAGTGCTCGCTGTACCTACTGGAAATGGGTCGAAGTAGGAGAATCAAGTGGCGAGTCTAGTACTGTTACCATTAACTCGAACAACTCATCAGCACTTGAAGAAGTTCAACAAATACTCACATGTTCCAATCCCTTTGCCGCCTAATGGAAGAACAAGACATTGAAATTTCTGTAAACGTGACAATACGCAAAGGCAATGGAAGTGCGGAAGCGGATAAGAAAGGGAAGGGGCTGATTTGATTAGGATTTGTGTTTTGATAGGATGTTGTGTAATATATTGTTACTTGCACCTTTCGAAATTGAACAAGTCAATGTAACAAACAAGTTATTGTATTCTATGGAATTGTAGCACCTATTGCACCTATCTGGTAAACTTTTTATTCCTGAATGTGTCTAAATATTATTATTCTTTTGGGTGTTTCTTTATTCTTGTTGTATGTAATTGAAATGACACGTACCATTTCTGCATTCTTTCTTTATGGGTTGCTTGCCATTCTTGTTCCTTGATTGTATACAATGTTTTGTGCTTAGCTTGGATAAATGCGATGTATACAAATTGCTGAAGAATTGATATTTGAGAAGATGAATAATGCATCTTATTCACGAAATGATTAATTGCGGAAAATAGAAGTTTAAAAGAGTGTGAAGAACGACTAGATTATCTTAATTTCATGGCTAAAATTCATTTTTCATATGAAGTTGATGCATCCAGACTCGTTAACTAAATAATTGAGCAAACACGCATCAATAACAGTCTTATGGAGAAGAACAGACACATCCTCTTTGACATATGTTTAGAGAACTTGTACAACTCTCTATGAAAAGATGTTTATGAGTAGAAATCTAGTCTTTGGCTTGAAGTATAATCTGCCTTAGAGCTCCAATAGGTGCTCCAATTAAATGATTGTAATTGGAGGGATAGTGCTAGTGCAAAGAGTTCTAATGTCAGAAACTTGCGCTATATTCATCAGGCACATTCGGATAGTAATACGGCATTGCGTTCCCTAGTGCAAAATGTACAAGTTACTACACAAACAAGAGAAAATAAGGAATTTGAACGACGCATGTTTAAGCATGTTAGTACCTTGACTATTCCATATAACACTTGCTGGAGCGGGAGGAATGACATTGGGCGACTGTACGTGTTGTGTAAGTTCGTGACAGTTCTCACCACCCTACATCAAACAAAAACGTATGAGCAAACGTGCTAATGAAAGTGTTTTACATTTATTTGTACCCACCAGTAAGAGTTGTGAATATGACATCGGTGGAGACATGTAGTACTGAGCTTGATGGTGCGACTAAATTATTGGTGCACCGTCTCCCATTTGATCCGGGTGTGCCCCTTGGCCGAACTCGGATTTGCCTGCAAAACAACAAAATAAATGGGGGCATTATTAATAGTATTATGCACTTTCGTACTACACAAAATGTTTGACGCATACATTTGTCTTAGTAGAGCTCGATTCCAAAGCACTTTTCCTTTGCAGTTTCCTGGGTGCGCCTTTTCTCTTTGAGTATATCAGATCCTGTATGATACCTTTACCATAATGCTGTGATGCTCCACTCTCCGAAGCTATCCGCTCAGTGTACTGGGACATGTCATTACTTCCACAACTCGACCTCATCGTCCCAACTGATAGTTCTTTGGTTTCTATCTACTCCAGTATCGATCGGACTTCATTCTCATCATCTACAGCTATGTTCGCAAGCCTAGAAAATGATTGACACATCTTGTCATATCTCAACTGTGCTGGGGTGCTACTTAAACCATCATAGTTAACTGCAACCCTTGTGTGAGCTCTGACGACGTCTCTCCTCCACCTTCGTAATACGTAGATGTCAGGCAATGACTTCACATTGTTATGGAGCAATACAGTGATTGTATGTCTGCAAATTATTCCTCGAAACTCAAATAAGTGGCAGTTGCATACAACTTTACAATTCTCTTTCTGAAATGTGACACAGAACTTCTTCTTGTCAACCCAGTCGTCACGTATGACGTCCTTCCATACTTCATATGTAGTCCCCAAGCAGCCCATCCGACGAAGAAACGAGGTCGCAGTAAACCGTCCTAACAAATTCCTCCTGTACTTCCATAAATTTCGAGATTGTATAAACTAGCTGAAACTGCTTCTCCATCTCGTACTTTGTAACACATGATACCATTTGCGAGAAGGACTTGAAATCCGCTTGACCAGCCATCATCATGCAGGTCAAAGTTATTGATCATCGCTTCCCAGCCCTCTTCAAACTCTTCAGCGGTTTGAGAATCATACACCAACACATGTATAGTAGAGAAAATGACACCCTTATCGACGTGGTATCCAAACTTCTCTGGCAACTTCTTCAATATATGCCACAAACACCACCTATGCCGAGTGTTCGGAAGAATGACCTGAATTGCATTTTACATGGCCTTATCTTGATCGGTGATAATTTCCTTAGGAGCTTGGCCATGCATGCACTGAAGCCAAGTCCTGAACAACCACACAAATGTCTCTGTACTTTCGTTGGACACCAAACCACAACCAAGTAGTGTTGATTATCCGTGATGATTAAACCCAACAAAAGATACGAATGGCATGTCGTACTTGTTAGTTAGGTACGTGGTATCAAATGTTACAATATCGCCGAACTCCTTATTTGCTTGCCTACTCCTATTATCAGCCCAAAAAATATTACTCAAGCGCGACTCATCATCTAAATCCATAGTAAAGTAAAAATCCGAACACCTTGCTTGCATTTTCGAAAAGTAGGCTTGTATTGCTGCGGCATCTCTGTCTCCAAGTCGTAACCGCCTAACTAGTTCAACATAATTTCGACAATCCTTTTCTATGCAAATCAAGTTCTCATAGCCACCCGCTTCTATAACTGCAACGTTGTAACTTTTGTGCAGCGGAATCCCTTTCATATCATTCACTTCAAGTCGTCGTTTGACATGGGCACTCAACTCTCGGTTGCAACGATACAACCTTGACTTCGAAGGACTTGTTTTGTGATTGTGAATGAGATTGACTTTGTTTATTTTCCATATTCCACATGCATCTTCAGAAGTAGTA